ARKKATTGCAGCTTCTTTTGCAGCAACGTCTAGAACAAGTAAGGCATATACAACACAATTGTTRCATATACAATTAATTATAAGTCAAGAATCTCCAGTTTGATAAGTTATTTTAGGCTCAAGGAGATCAAAAAWTCATAGTGTTGTATGCATGCTAAAAAATTTAATGATAAAGTTTAGCTTACCCAATTCTTATCACTTAGAAGTCAAAGTTGATGCTGCTCATTGAAAGTTTATAAAATCTTAATTCAATGTTCTCAAAACTTTCAACTTTGGTGATTAATACTACCTCAGAAATTRYAATAGAAGTTWATTTATAATGTAAAGTACTCAAGATTCGAGGGAAGATTCATTCGAGGTATGCAYMGWTTGGTTACTTCTTCAAATACACCAAACCTGGTGCTGTGTAATTCAGGAATCTATTTTTGACAAAGAGAGAAAAAATTGTATGCTGAAAGTCCTGCAAACCTTTTACTGATCAGAAGTATTTTATTGTATTTTTACAACTGAAAATGCTATGGTCTGCTATAACATCGAGATTTTAATAAATGTGTCCTCAAATTTCCAGTTGTGGTGTATATATATATCAGCTGAATCGTAACAGAATAATAATTACGTCGAATTTAATTGATTGAAAGTAAATTTGTAAGGAAAGAATTGATTCCAGAGTAGATATCATTGTGTCCTTCTCTAAAAGAAACTGAAGATCTGTAGAGTTATAGGAACAATTATAAAGGTTGCGCGGGTCTCTCTATACTCTGATTAAGTCACGGTCATCAACCAATCAGAGCGCGAGTTATATCCCAAAACTTTTTATAACTTTCGATGTAAAATTTTTCGCTTCCACACAAATCAATACTCTCTCGGAGTATTTTCAATATTATCATTTCCACTCTAGTTTTCATCAAATTCTCTCTGTTTTGACAAGAAAGGTCGTATTTATCATAAAGTCGTCTTTGTTTGGTTTCGATTCTGACTTGGGATCATATGTGGCTTGAGTTTGTTTCTGTTCTCTCCCTTGCTTCGACGGTTTTTTCTCCGAGTTCTCCGGTTTTTCCTCTCTCAGCAAAAACGGAAAATTTCGATCCTAGCTGTGCTCCGTGATCAGAAATGGGTCGGTTGGTTGGCTGCTTTGTGTGTGTGTTTTAACTATTTGATTCTCCTCATAATGGTAGCGCCCTCGTATACCGCATAACCCACTCGATCACGTGAGCTGCGTCCTTTGTAATACTCCAGTTTCGAATTCTCTTTTGTGCAAGCTTAGCTTCAATCAAGCATAAATTTTTATTGTCTTCTTTGTTTGGATTTCAATAGTATCTCTGCTGAATAAATAGAGGATATTACATGGGCGTGCGGAGATATGCATTTCTTATCTTCGAGATCGTAGCGAATAAGGAGATATCAATTGAACACTCGAAGATAAAATTCGTATCCCCAAGCGCCCATGTAATATTCTGTTTATTATATAAATTATTATAAACACAAAACAGCAGCAAAAGTTTAAATATACATGTTATTAAGTGCAAGATATCACTTTTTCGCGCGAAAGATGGTATAACACAATATTTATTATGTATAGTAATATTTATTATTATTTTATTTTATATAATAAAAGAATATATTACATCCTCTCGAGGTTAAGACTACACAAATAAGATCTCGAAACTGGAGTATTCAGCACTCGGGCTTAAAGGATGGGCGATTAGCTACCACCGATTTATTTATTTATTGGGTCAGAAACAGTTCAACAGTTCGAAAGCATTTCCATTATTTCACGGCTCTGGTCACCCTAACCTTACAAATAAGGTAAAAAGTGTGTGCTCGTATGTTTAATTGAAGACTRCATTATTATAACACAAATGGGAAAATAATATTTGCTATCGGTAGCCTAGCAACTAATCATGTTTTTGTACCAGCGGAACCAAGCGACTACCGTCATAAAATAAATATTTATCGGTAGCCTAGCAACTAACCATGTTTTTGTACCAGCGGAACCAAGTCACAACGTCATCAAATAAATATTTATCGGTAGCCTAGCAACTCTAATGTTTTTCTGCCACCGGACCCAAGTTACTAACGTCATAAAACAAATATTTATCGGTAGCCTAGCAACTAATCATGTTTTTGTACCAGCGGAACCAAGCGACTACCGTCATAAAATAAATATTTATCGGTAGCCTAGCAACTAACCATGTTTTTGTACCAGCGGAACCAAGTCACAACGTCATCAAATAAATATTTACCGGTAGCCTAGCAACTAACCATGTCTTTCTTACAGCGGATGCAAGTGACTAATGGTAGCCCCACCCCTCCCTGTTCCATGTGTGGGCACTCAGAGAACTAATTTGTGTGTGCTCAGCGTACTAGGGCTAGGCTTCATTTAGTTTTTCCTATGTCACTGTCAAGGTTCTCATCTCAAACCCCTAGAGTAAGATGACGGTCGCGAAGAATCTGTTTTGTTTTGTAAATTGTTTGTTTGTTTGTTTTTACAATCAGTGCTTGCATTCCTTCTTACTTCTTACTCTGGATACCAAAATCTGATGATCTCATGGTTGCCATTTTKGCAACAACAAAAAACTAAAACTGCAGATTGAGAAAAGTCTTAACGAAGAAGCTGGTGATACAAGGGTCAAACATTTCAATGGTGGTTGACTACTCTCGAAGATGACGACAAATAACACTAAATTAWTTCTTCCCAACATAACCCTTAACAGGTCTGTCTTTCTGGTTGCCGAAACTGACAATGTTCAGTAATATAGCTTTAGATTCCCATCATGCTTTTCTGCCCCTTTACCTCCCYTTCCATTTTTCTGTCCCATTCCGTCGTCCGTGTCGGTAGGGTGAGTGATGTTTATTATTGTTCCATGATYGGTTGCCAAGYACACATGATGTGTTTTMGAACATCTGTGATTGGATAACAAATCTTCAAATTAAGAATAAATAGTTATTTGCAAAATCTAAAGATCGTCTTTTCGTGCTACCGTTGGTAAAATGAATCCGACAGCATTTCGAGGAGAGTTTGACCTCAACCCTGAGATGAGAGCTGAACAGACTTCGTATGGCAACCAAGACGAGTCCGGGCAGAGAAAAAGGTATAACACAAGAGAACTAACCTCTAGAACAGTCAATGCTCCTAACATCGTCGACACCACTTGGCCAAAACCTTTRCTCAGCATCMGACTTCCACCTATTAAATTAACCAAAGGAATGAAAAAATTACTGCTACTTGGCCCGCCCACATCAGAACAAAGACTTCCACAAGATGCCCAGAGTGATAACTTCTTGCAGCATTCCGTTGAAGGAAG